CCTGTAGTTATTCTGAAAGGTCTAAGTCCTGGCCTGGGAACTTTGATAGGAACTGTTTAGTCTTAATCATCTATCTGGCTAGTTTCCATGTTATTTAGTAGAGGTATATTTGTTACTGTGATATGTTAAAAACATTGAATATTCAATAGCCCTCAGACGTCTGCTTTCCACCTGTGTAGTATGGTGTCTAGTCAAAGATCAATACAGTAGCATAAAACATGCAGGAGTATTAAGTAGTTTGGGACTTTATTTAGGTACCAACCAGCTCCAGCACTTGCTTGAATGGGAAAAAATTCAGGCCTAACTAACATAAAACAAGTGTATTATAGTTGATTTCTATTTTGATGGAAGTGGTTAACTTGAAATTATTGATCTTTAAGCTGTTGTGAAATTTTTCTTGCATAGGCTGTGTAGCTTCTTTATGGCGTGAAACTTTAGCACCTGAGCCTCGGTACTTTGTTTTTTAGGACTTCAGTCAATTAGCTGTTTTTAGTAAAGTTTGCTGTTAAGTGCCACTGAAGAGTGTGGGTGTAGGTAAGGTTGATCTCGCGTTTTTCGGGGAGTATGTTTCATCCATACTGAAATGCAGTATTTCTTTTCATGGTTTCTCTATATGATGTTTTGCCTTGGAGAACTGAACTGGAAATAAGAATAAACAATGGTAGTAACAATAAGCAAGTCAGACCAGTTGGACGTTGTGCTATTGTATGCTGTCATGATGCTGCCTTTCATCAATATTCATCCAGAGAGCTTATGAACATAGTCCACAACCCCTCTCAGAAATAATCAACTTAAATGCTGTTTTAACTAATGATTCGTAAGATGCTTCTGTCTTCCATTATTGTTTGCCTTAAAAAAAAAAAATTATATCTTAAATATGCTTTGAAAGAACCTGTGTATATCAGAACACTTTAAAGTACAAAGTTGGATTTCTGCGCACTGCTATGTGGATAATGCAGCCTTGTTTGTAAGCATTAACTCAGCCTCAGTGGGCCTTTAATCGGGGGGTCTCATGAATTGCTGGTGTCTTTGTACTAAGCTATGTGAGAATTGTTTAAGTTTCTCTTTCCAAATCCCACTTTTGAACTGTATTTGCATAGTGGGTTAGCATTATATTTTAGCATACATGCTGAAATCATTCAAAATACGAAGTTTTCTTACTTAGCTGTAAAACTGTATGTTTTACAAGTGCACTCTGCTAAGAAGCAAGGTACAATTGAAAATTTTCAATTCCCCGCTAATCATAGCTTTACTTGTACTCTTATTTAACATTCATCCTACTTAAGTATTTTTTTTAATTATTTTGCTCTTACTTGTAGAACCGGGATGGATCATGTATCCAATCAATCAGCCTTATTCTTAAGCAGGACTCCAAGAGGCAAGTGACTCTGACTCATTCAGGAGATGTTTTGGTACATGACCAATACAAAATTAACCTGCCTTATGCAGATGGTAAGGAATAATATATAAGCATATAACTCCTATGAAGCGCTAAAGCAGTATTTTAATGGCATACGTGTATGTCCTGATACTGTCAATATTGCTCACATACTGGAGTGGTATATTGTTAATATCAACATAGTTAATTTTTTATGAAATGTTTCACAAATTAACTGCTGATGTATGTTTTACACTAATGGTAGGAGTTGTATGGTAGCTGTATTGGATTAGTGTCCAATAAGATTGAGTATGTTCTGTCTCTAAAAAAAGTCCAAATGCCATCTGTCACATTTAGAAAGTTGGTTAGTTCTTTTTCTGAGGGGAAGTGCTTTTCTGTGGTTCTTGAACGGAATAATTTCTTTGCCCTCTTTTGTGAGCAACTTGAGTAAATGTAAGTGGAAAGAGCCCTCTTGGCCCTTTACAGATAAGCTACAGATTTTTGGACAAAAAATTTCTTTTATTTCTTTTCCTTTTTGCGTCAATGAGTTTTAAATCTCTCCCTCTGGAAGATATTACACCTGAATATATGGCTGTATTCTGTGAGATTTGATGTTAGCTTCGGTGAGAAATTTATATGCAAATAGTTAGTACATTTGACATCTGTGGGGCCTTGGCCCTTTAGGAATTTCAAAAAAAAGGCTTTAATACAGGAAACATGTTGCCAGTGTTAGAATTAGGTTGTTTAAAATAAATGGTCTGCAATGTTATCTGCAGTGTCTGTATCTTTACATTGATTTGCTTTTAGTTAACCTTTATGAATATCCAGTGAACCTCTGGATGCATTTCTAAAAAGTGTGGTGACTGTCATAAGCTTTTTGGTTTTTTTCTTTAAAGTCTGAATCAGTGTAACCTGTTGTGAGAAGTCAATGATTAGGAGAAAATAGGAAACAGTAAAAACAGGAAAAAGTGTAACAAAAACAAAAAAATAAAATGCAAGTTACAAGTAGGTTTCCTCTGCCTTTCAACAATCTCTATTTTTACTCACCAGAGTTGTTTGAAATACGGAAACTGTCTTCTCTCTTTCTTCAAGTAAAGACACACATTGGATTACAGTTACTATATGACAGAGGAGGACTGAGGCTTTATCTTCAAGCTGATGGACGGTGGAAAGATGATACTGTGGGCCTTTGTGGAACCTTCAATGGAAATACAGAGGATGATTTTTTGTATGAATAGCTGCAAGATTTCTATTTGCCAGTATATGAATATTTACAGTTAGAGTGGTAGATCAAGTGTGTACTGAAGCTGAATAGATAGATACCAAGAATAATTTATTTTGTTGTTTTGTTTTAGTGAGATGGATAGTAGGTTTTAGTTTGCTAACAGAGTATCTGTAACTTCAACTATAGGATATCAAGCCAGGTTTTTCTTAAAATATTTTAATACAAAAGCACAGTGAAATATATATGACTCCTAAACTAAGTGCTATTTTATCTGAAAAGTTTTGTCTAAAATATGGGGTGGCCTATATAAGGGACTTCCTGCCTCCCTGCAAGCCTCTCTATCTCTTCCCAGCTCCTATTTTCTGATGCACGTTCTAATCTGCTCTCTCTGACAGAGCTTCTATTGTTCAGTGCCTGCAGGCCAGCAATAGGAAATGGCTGTTGCCTGAGTTTCGCTTCATTGTGAGGCAGTGAAAGGTGGTCAGAGCTGCCTGAGCACCACCGTCAAGACTGCTGTTTGTCCAGCTTTTTTGCAGCATATTTCCTACAGATGCTAAAGAACAACTTTGCTTCCAGGGGGTCGAGCAGCCTAATGGAAGTGGGAGAAGGAAAACATTAATTTAGAGCATGACAAAATATTTCTTTGACCAAGGGGGGGGAAAAAAAAGATTAGGAGAACTTCTTTCTCTCAAAACAGTTAAAATCTTTTAAACCAAAACTGGGGAAACTTTCTATAGTAATTCCCATTTAAAAACACACCCACAAATGTTCTAGTGGATTTTTGAACAATTTCTATCTCAAAGATTAAAAAATATTATCAGAACACTGTTTATAATGACATCAGGAAATATATAGACAGGATGTCAATGAAGAGAGATCTGTGTAAAACTACTTAAAATATTTCTCTGTTTGAAGCAAGTAAGTTTTGTACGTATTTTTGATGACAGTCTTTGGACTTGTCCTCAAACAAGTGAGAAGTTATTTAATAGTTGATATTTGTGGAAAAAAACCTTTAAACTACAGGAGCTTATGCTGAGATATGACACAAATGGTAATGTGCGAACATCTGGACATGTACACGAAACACCTGATCCATGCTAGATTTAGGAGACTTGCCATAGACAGTGATGCCTGTTGCAACACCTCCAGCCCCAGCTACTTTACCAGAAGTAATACTACTGGTTGTATGCCTCATGCAATTTTTTCCCTAGAGTGTAACATCCCATCTTTAAATGTACTGTTTTGATCATTCTCCCTATACGATATTAATGAGTCTTGGTTATTTTTGATCAAAGTCTTTCTATCTTCCAGCTTCTTATGCCCCTCTGCTTACCTGGGCTTCATGGATATCTATTCAACTATTCTAGTTACGCCTCTGGACCCTTCGATTTCTGTTCCTTCCTCTGTCTTGCAGGGACTAGGGAGCCTGGGAAGTCAGCTACCCAAGAACAGACCGGAAGCTAGGTAGAGGAGAGAGAAAAAGTAATCGGGTATCACTGAGATGGCAGAAGTATGAATAGGAGAGTGCACACTTTCAGGACAGTGGTGCTCCCTTCTCTTTTGCGAAAATGGAACTTGGTCTGTTTTGATCTGTCCTTCCTTACGAAGTATCTAATGGCTCTAGAGCAGATCTTGTCTTTCATTTCTGGGCCTTTGCCTGGAAAGAAAGAGTCCTGAAACTTAAGCTGACGGTGCTTTACAGGAGAGTTCCTGAGAATATGGAACAGTGGAAGGGGAGCTTGAATCAACTCTGCTTGAAGGGGGTGGTAGAACTGAGACCATTCTGTAAATTCACTGTATCTTTTGTGACTGACTTCTCTTTTGTAAAAGATCTCCAGCTGGAGTAACTGAAAGCACTCCAGAACTGTTTGGAAACACATGGAAAACTTCATCGGTGTGCATTCTTGTGCATGATAGTTCGCAAATGGATCCATGTGATATTCATCTGCAGGCAGGTGGGCAGTGAAGGTCAATTGTTACTGACAAATGCTTTTCTACTTACTACATCTGTGCTGATTTTTTTCCTAGTTGGATCAAGTAAAGTAATAACCAGTGATCGTGCCCCTGTACTCGGCACTGGTGAGGCCACACCTCAAATACTGTGTTCAGTTTTGGGCCCCTTGCTCCAAGAAGGACGTTGAGGTGCTGGGCCTGTCCAAAGAAGGGCAACAAAGCTGGTGAGGGGTCTGGAGCACAAGTCTTATGAGGAGCGGCTGAGGGAACTCGGGTTGTTTAGTCTGGAGAAGAGGAGGCTGAAGGGAGACCTTATCGCTCTCTACAACTACCTGAAAGGGGGTTGTGGCGACAAGAGTGTTGGCCTCTTCTCCCAAGTAACTAGCAATAGGATGACAGGAAATGGCCTCAAGTTGCGCCGGGGGAGGTTTAGATTGGATATTGGGAAGAATTTCTTTATGGAGAGAGTGGTCAAGCATTGGAACAGGCTGCCCAGGGAGGTGGTGGAGTTGCCATCTCTGGAAGTGTTCAAAAAACGTGTGGTCGTGGGCGCTTCAGGACATGGTTTAGTGGGCATGGTGGTGTTGGGTTAACGGTTGGACTTGATGATCTTGAAGGTCCTTTCCAACCTTAGTGATTCTGTGATTCTTTCTTACCCACTGAAAAAATTAATAGTTACAGGTAGCGTTTGTTGAGTACAGTCCCCTAACAAATCATGTAGTGTATTGCTTAAGTATTTTGTGATACTTGCAGAAGCCCTTGAAATACTGCTTTTTATTTCTGGTTTGCAGTTACAATGTGTTAAATTAGACATGGATTAAAGGTTGGCAGTATGCCTAGAATTGGTGATGCTGCTAGTTAAGATGGAGGCTTAAAAGCATTGCAGTATTCTTTTTTGAAAATACTGAAAAAATTAAATATCTGATGTAATTGTCTGCTATAGAGGAAAATAGGTAGTTAGGAGAAAGATACTTATGCACTGCCAGCCTTTAGATTCAGCTGAAAGGGTCCAGCTGGGGAAAGATGCTAGTAGCTGATGCCGTGAAGTCCACAGATGGTAACTAAGACATCCTTTAATAATGATGAACTTTGTAGATTGGCAGGTATATCCATTTTACAGTTCCTACCACTTTTTATCTTGGACTCTACGCACTTCTAAGCAAGACACAAAGATAACATATTGATTAAGGTTTTGGTTGTAACTTCAGCAGTGCTAGGAAATCATCACGTTTCCTCCTACAACATTATCCTGTCTTTTGAGTATTTATACAACGTGCAGCACTCGGAAGCTGCATTCTTGCTAATGGGTTTAGGCATGAATGGGGAAAAAAGCGGCCTGTACAGGAAGTCAGAAATTCTGGAAAGGGAATTTTAAAGTCCTAGTTTATGCATCTCGTTTTGTGCGAAATGCAAATGTATCTCTTTCTGGCTATGCAAATATACCATATTCTTTCTTTGGATCACTATTGCACAATTCTTTAATTAGTCAGAATTAAGATATTCAGATGAGTGCAGTCTTCGAAGTTTCTTATGTAACTATTTGATACTGCGCTGCTTCTCCTGTGCAATAGTGGTACCCCAAGCTAGCAGCTCCATGTGTATGTGCAGCCTTATGCAGCTGAAACAATGGGTAACAGAGTACTCTTTAAAATACTGACCTATTGAAGTAGTTATTGGGAATAACTTAAACTGAAGAGATATGTAATCCTGGGTGTTTATGAAAGGCACTGGGTAGTGTGTAACATCTGTTGCCTAACCCACATCCATGAATCAGTTTAAAGATAGGAGACTGTATGTAGGCTCTGTCTGTATTGTAAAGCTTTCCCGATACCTCAGTCAGTCCCAGAACAAGCTCAAAACTATGAGCAGTTAACTTCTTTTCTGTCCTTCAATACAGTTGTATAGATATCAAAGATAGAAAGATATATATGGCAGTGGTATAGAACCATGATCAGTTGCATTGTATAGAAGACACTTTTTATTCCAAGTCTCTTTAAACTCCATCACTGAAACAGTGTTTAATCTGTTGTTTGTGTAGCCTCTTATGCAGCGGAAGCTTGTAGCATCCTTACGAAAGAACTTTTTGCTCCATGCTACCCCTATTTGAGTCCTGTTCCCTATTTTGAGCAGTGCAGAAGAGACACTTGCAAATGTGGACAGATTTGTTTTTGCTCTGCTCTGGCCCATTATGCTCATCATTGCCGAAGATTTGGAGTTGTAATAGATTTCAGAGGAGGTGTCCCAGACTGTGGTGAGTTGCCTTTCACAGCTTCTAGTCTTAAATAATCACTGTTTGAGGACTTTAGAATGACTATCAGAAAATAAGTTAAAAATATAGTTTTTTTAAATGAGAAGGATTAATTCTAGCATGATCTCATGTGTACAGGACAAGGTTCTTTTTTTGCCAAGGCAGAATTAGTACCAGTGTTATTAGAGGATTGTTCCTTTATAGTTGGCTTTTTTTAGTTCTTTTGACTTAAACAACGCAAAGATCTCTTTGAAGTGGTTGGAGGGCTTCAGATGTCTACAGAATTAGAAATATGTCTATATCTCTTTCATGACTTTGAATATTTCATATCCATGTTGATATTTCTCATGAGCTGCGTAAATAGATTTGTTCTTTTCCTCATATATGCTAGATTTATCTAATTCTTTAAATGAATGAGATAAAGAATTATGGTGATGTATTTAGCAGTTTTCACTGGATTATTGTCAACATCAGCGCTCTGACAATCTCTCTGTTATCTTACTTTCTTACTGTCAGTGACACTGAAGTACACAGAGTGCTGAAATAAGTGTAGTGAATTGGTATTGTTGATATTTAATTTAAAATGAATGGAAGAATATAGATAGCTAAAGGTGACATCTGTTACCTCTACACTATCTGCTATATAAAGCCTCACAAGTAGAGGAGTGGAATAATATTATAAAATTCTTGAGTTTATATGAACTTCCAGAGATGCAAAAGATGCTGAGTAGGACATGTAGTGCCCTTATCTACATTTTTCAAAATTACAGAATTGGTAACCCTATAAAACAGTCCTAAACTGACGCCTCTGATGTTTCAGAAGGTTTGGCTCCATAAACAAAGCTGAAAATCTTTTCTAAGGAACATTCAAGAATTTAACATCTGCTAGTTTTCATCACATCATGTACTTATCCATGTTGTAATGCATGAGAAAAAGGATTTTGGAAAGTTGGCTCAGCTGGAGTATCTGTATGTATATCTGAAGACTGGCTTGCTTGCAATCATTATTGCATGAATGGCTGTGTCCACTACGAATGAATCATTCAAACAATTTAATTTTATTTTATCTTTTTTAGAAGCAAATATAGTTTTATTAGAATATATTTAAAAAGTCATGCTTGTAGGGCTTAAATATGTGAATCTTTGTACTACTTCAAGAAATTCAGATCCTTTTTTTTTTTTTTAAGGAGATCTTTATAGGAGATATATCTATAAAAAGAAAACTGAGGATGGTGTTGTGCAACATCTGCAATCTACACACATTTTACTTACTGCTTTTAATGTTTTCTTTAAGATGCTGTGCATTTCCCAAAGCCCATGCACAGGAGCCAAGCATTTTCAGAGTTAGAGGGGAAAAAAAGTTTCAAATGTTTGGTTTCCCCAATGTAAACCTGGATTAACTGCACAGACTTCATTGTACTCATTATTACTGCGGATTTACATCTGTGTAGTTTACACAGCATAGTGCCAAGATACCAATTTTAGTGGAATTTAATGTGATTGAGAATGAAAGCATAAAGTTGTTTATCAGAAAACTGTTGGGAGGTACTTGAGTCTCTTGCACTGTAACTTGAGAGATTTGTTTCATTTGGACAGCTCTTTCATGTGAAGATACAAAGGAGTACAGTACTTGTGTATCTACCTGTGGCAGAACCTGCCAAGCACTGTCGGTGCCAGAGACATGCAGCAGTGATTGTGTTGAAGGCTGTGCTTGTCCCTCTGGAATGTATTTGAATTCCAAGACTGAACGATGTGTACAGAGGTACGTAGAGTTGCAATTCTGATAGTCATGCTCGCTATTTTGGACCATTCCCTTTGCAAGTCAGAGTGAAAAGCTAATAAATGTGTAACATTGTAGATGTTATGCATCTGTAAATTTAGTGGGGATCTTAGAATTATACAGAACCTGTGTGACGATCAAAAAGTAGCTCTTCTATAGTACTGACACTCGTCCAACATTACCAAAGCTAGTTTGTTACATACTGTCGGTTTTTTGGCGTAGAAGAGATACAGAGGGTGTCCACTGTTGTATAGAGGTTCTGATTTGGTTTGGAATGCACTCGAGTTAATGGCAGTATTGAGATCAATTTCTTGTGTTTTAAAAAAAAGACACACAAACCCCCCCACCCAGCCAATCAAAAAACCTCACCAAAGCAACAAAGCAACCTACTGAACTTTGAACAGCAATTATGTCAATGGGAATTTTTTTTTCTTCTATTAGTTAATAAGTTACATGTTTTTTCTCTACTCCAGAAGTGAATGCCCATGTTATTTTCAAGGAATTGACTATCCCCCTGGAGAAAATGTTATGACATCTTTGGGCAAATGGTAAGATACAAAAACTGGTTTTTCATCTGACTAAATGGTGTCTCTGTTTTAAGAGTTACGTCAAATCATTCTGGATAGACTGTTGGGTTTTTTGTTGTTGTTTTTTTTGTTGGTTTTGGGTTTTTTTAATGAAGCATATAGAATAAACCTGCATCAGTTTTCTATGCATGTTTGGGCAGAGCTTCTTTAGAACTTAGGTTTTCAGGCTGCTGTGCCTATAATCCAATATACTGAAGTGCAAATTAGAGAGAAAAGCCATTTTGCAGATCTGTACTGATGTGGAGAGCTCCAGAAAACCCTCGGCATTTCCTGACTGTCCATTCAAGCCTGTTCAGCTAGACCTTCATTGCTATTCTCGTTCCCTATACCAGATTCTAAATCCATTAATGAAGAATAATTAAGAATTTGTCTTCCATTAGTATAGAATCAGTGTAAAAGAGCAGTGTGGCTTTATCAAGTAAAACAACACAAATAGCTGTCAGCTGCAGACAAAGGTAAATAAACATCATTATTGCTTACATTTGGCATTTGTTCTTGTCCTCTTGCTCTTCCATTTGCATCATTATAGTCATCACATTAAAGAAGAAAACTTGTTTAACTATTTTGGGTGCTGCCAAATGCATTCTTTTCAACAGTTAGTTCTGTCTGGAGAAGGTTAAATAACGTGGACAACAAGTTCTGTAACAAACAAGCTTTCAGAATTCCTTTTCTTGAAGTAATGTTTGAGTTCTCACTGCCTGTGTCAGTTGATAGAGCATGAAAGTAAAAGCAGAGCAGACCAAATCATGTCTATGATAGATGAGTGTAATACTTCAGTTTGTTGTGAAGGCCATGTAAGAGATTAATAGTCAGATATAAGAGATTAATACTGTCAGACACTGATTGCAATAGGGACACTTAGTAAACACCCACGCTCATTCTCACTCTCACTCTTGTCAGGAGCCTAGTGTCCATGAATACTGATCATTATAAATCTATATCTTAATAGTGAAGTTAGCTCATCTGTACCTTAGGGCAGGTTCCCTGGAGAGTACCAGGCAACCCATTCTGCATATGAGGCTGTGCAAAGTCTGAGTGCACCATTACCTGCCTTCCTGGATACTTTTGTTCACAGACAGCCCTGGGAGTCATGAGAAGGGGCTTCTCCTGGTAGATTCTTTGATTTGTTTCCTTTCATCCTCCTCCTCAAGGGTCTAGTTTAGCTAATTATGCTAAGCACTATGGTGGATATTTGGCTGGATGCACACTGATTATGTGATCATCTGCAAATGCATTTTTTTAGAAATTACTACAGGTGAAAAACATCTTTCTATTGATTTCAGTGGAGTTATTTAGGATCTGGCAGCTTATGTTTCATGTGAGTGTTAATTAAAATATATCTACTGGTTTACAACTACTAGTTTTTGAGATAAAATAAGAGGGCTGTATCTCCTATCTAGTCGTGACATTTGCTTTCTGCGTTTTAGCAAGGTTGTATACACATCTGCTGAGGAAAGGCTTTCAAACATGGAGGTACAGACTGTCAGGTCCTCTGAATTACCTTGTGCTAAGTAATGCATTAGGAGTCATGTAGGACTTTTATGTATGGATGAACTGGAAAAAATACACACAATGTACTGGTGTTTTTTAATCTGTCACTGTTTTTATTAGAAACAGCTATGGTCTTATGCTCTCTGTCTTTCTCAAGTGCTTCTTCCTCTTTGGAATTTCCACTTTCAAACTGGAATTTCTTCTCATGTTTGTCTATGGAGTAGCCTTTCTACTCTGTTGTTTTCAATCAGTTCTTTAAAATATTTTCATTTTGATACTGATGTTATGTCAGTATTTGAGTTGCTTCCCTATCAGTTTTTTTTTGGTACTGTTTTGCCTGTTATCTGAGTTATACTGTGAAGTCCTTGAGCAAGGACACTTTTCCTGCAGTGCTTTGGGGTACATACACAACTCCAAACATGACAGTAGAGTGGTTATAGCATGTTCAGAATTTTATTCTGGGGATAAAATGGGAATTTTATTACTGGGGATGTCTTAGCCATTGCAAAAGAATGGGAGAATAGTGCTGGAGTTCATGGGCTTAGGTTCTCTAGTGAAGCACAGGACCTGAAACGAAGCCACTTTTTCCCTGACAATGAGTTGCTATCAGATCTACTACCACTTTTATAAAAGTACTTCGCTATTTTGGCTAGAATTAGGCAGGAGCAGACAGTATTATGTTGCTCAGTGCTTCCCTGCATACAGTACCTTTTTAGGGTTGAGTTTTATGCAGTTTGCTTGTTTCTTTGTTGAACTGTCATGTAGGGGAAACATGTTGTGTCTGTTCCTGCCTGTGTAATATTTTGTATGTGTGAATGGGTATACATCCTGCAAAATTTTTGATAAACTATCTTAAAACTTTTATTTTGAATCTTGATTAGCATAGAATTGTTTGAATGTTTTTAGGTTCTGGTTATGAACTGTAGTTCCAGTTGGTTCTGATAATAGTCACAGTAGGTTGCTATTCCAGTAATCCTATCATATTGCTGAAGCAAAATTAGTTTGAGACAGCGTGAAGATAAAAATTAGCATCTGCATCACTGTTACCTTTTGTGGGCCAAGAACACTAAAAGAATTTAAACATTCATTTTGTTATAAATGAGATGGAAATTAATGATATTGAGATCTTTTCAGATGGAGAGTTTTTGTTCATGGTCCATATTAAGAGTGGTTGAGAAAAGATAAAATTATCAGTCTACTGTTACTATGTTTTGCTTGGGGAAAAGTCATTTCAGTCCAGTACAAAAAAATTGTGGCCATCGCAATAGCTTGTGATTGTATTATATTCAACATTGGGGTTTTGCCTTCAACTGTGGGATAACTTAACTATTGGTATTGTCAAGATTTTCACATAAACTAAGAGCTTGCTTTTCAGCAGAGTTCAAAGCTGGTAGTGAGGAAATGGAGCATTTATAATAGTGTTAAGAATGTTCATACAACAGTACATACTGAGAGTTTGCTGTAACATGTAGGTATGTGTGTTTGGAGCTTTGTTTTGCTGATATTGCTTGTTGCATTTTTGTTTTAGATAATGATGATTCTGTTATGTACAGGGCATAGTTTATTATTACTGCACCGATATCTTTGGGATCAGTGTAGTGGCGTATTCCTGTATGTATTTTTATGTCAGCCCAGTCATTTTAACTCATACTAATGTTATGCAGAAAGTAAAACTTTGAAGTATAATTAATATTCTTTGTGTAAGGGAATATACACTTTATCCGTAGTTCTAATGTTCAATGCAAATGTTTATACAGTTATTTTGTATTGATTCATACTTCACGCTTCATTATTAAACAGAAAACGTTAATATTTTATATCTTCCTGGCTCTCATTACATCTTCATGTATTTTTATTGCAGCCATTGCAGGGATGGAGTAATGAATTGTGATAACAACGTAATAGGTGAGTGAAGAGAGAGAGGGAAAAGATCTTTCAAGTACAATGAATATGTATCCTCCAATCTTTGTGGAACCTCTATCTGTAGTATAAGGTTTTGCAATATGTACAAAATAACTTGCAGGAGGGAATCTGTAGTTTAGGAATTACAGTATTTGTGTGATTGAAAGACAGGCTGGTGCAAAGGAGCAGAACTATCCAAAATACTGTAAAATCTGAGCAACCTTTTTCCTAGTGTTTTAAAATACTAATTTTATTTTTAGATTGCTAATGTAAATAAGCTTAGCTGCATGACAAACAGTAGAACTTCAGTAGGACAACCAGAGGTTACTTTACCCCATAAAACATGGTTGTAGGAACTGAACACTGGCAGTAATTTTTCGCAGATGTTTTTTCTTTTCCTGCACCTAACTGAAATACGAAAAAATAATATTTCTTTTTTCATACTTAAGCAAAAGAATGTAACAGGTGCTTTTTCTATTACAGTGTATTTTATATATCACTAAGTATTATGGTCCATACTCTTGATACGATGTTCCTTGTACTTCAGTGAGAGAGACTATTATTTGAGGTTTCAGTTCTAGAATTGCCAACTCTTTGGCCTTTAGTGGAAATCTGTTCCCGATACACTTGAAGGTGGTGATTGTACTGGCTTGACAATCATCCAGACCCTCTCTCACAAATAAATAAACAAATCACAGCAACCAACCAAAAACACTTCAAAAAAACTGCCACTTCAGGTATTTCTGTTACGTATAGACAGTATGTTCAGCACAACCCAAAAGCAATTGTGCAATAGAGTTGTTTTATTTGTAGTTAGTGGCTCCAGCATGGAAAGTCACATCTAGCTCGTGCACCTTTTCTTGATATTTTTTGCTTTCTGTTGCTTTCTGTTTCTCTGATAGTACTTGGCATTTCTGTTTTGGAGGACCGATTCCTGACTAAGTGTTTAGACATGTCCCTCACTAAATGAATATATTGCTTTCAGTATTTTGTATGAGTTGTAGAGGGATTCCATGAAGTTAACTATGCTCAGGAGAGACAAGCCATTGGATGTTACTGGTGTTAATGAATGTTACACTTTTGTATTACATATTCTCAATCTAAATCTATTGCACACCTTTATGGAATACAAAATTTCAGGTGTGAAGACTAATGTGTTTTGTTTGGTTCTGCCCCCCCCAGCACACAGCTGCCCTGTTGGACAGATCTATATTAACTGCAGTAATCCACAAGTTGATCCTGAACTCAGCAGAGAGAGAACTTGTGAGAATCAGCTGCTAAACCTTACTTTCTCAGCACACCTTCCTTGTGTTTCAGGTTGTGTCTGCCCACTGGGGTGAGTACAGACAGATTTGCATCTTTTGGTGCACAAACGTAGATGACTACCTTCAGTAGGATTGAGTAATTAATTCTGCTAAGGACATACCACACTTCTACTTGGAGAATTTGACATGTCAAGGGGTGACCATGCGACCTGTGAAGGTTTAACCACAAAATTATATGGGCCATTGAAGGCATAACGTGTAGTAAACTAAGAGGCAGCTGGAGCTAAAGGTTGAACACCTCACAATATTAAAAACAACCTAACAGGAATATAGAAAGGGCATTGAAATACTTTGATCCAATCCCTGTACTACAGCAGAACTGCGTTTACCTAGATATTTTTTCAGCTATCTAACCTCTTATTTGAACATTTGACTGAAGGAGTCCTATTTCTTCACTCTTAGACTTTATTTTCAGTATTTTGTTCCTCAGAAAGGAAGGATATTTTAAGTCTCAGGGGTTTATGCTGAAAATGTGTAGATGAGCTGGTGTCGTATTTTGGAATCAAGCACTATATAGCTGAGAGATTTTTTTAATATAAAAATAGCAATTATGTGTTTAGGTTATGTTGGTTTTGATGGGATTTAGTCTTTTAAGCAGATAGCTTGAAGTTTTTAAGTATTGTCACTCTAAAATTACTGTTTATGCCTTGAGAGCCTCCTCAAAAATGAAGAGTAAAAGCCAGATCCTCAATTGAATTGTGTTGAAATATGTCATTTGAAGTCTGTGGACTTACACTCATTATGTGTAGATTTTTCTGTGTCATGGTAAGATATTGCTACTCAGACTTCCGCTTTTTACCCTAACATTCAGAAGCATGAAATGTCAAACTGTTCACATGAAATGGAACCTGTAATTAGTCCAACTCACAATATGGTACCCTGGTGAAAAAGTGCAGTGTTAAGATAGATTTTGAAATTAACTGGAGGAAGACATTTTCCTGAGCCCTCAGCACAGGAAAGACATGGACCTGTAGGAGAGGGTCCAGAGGAGGTCTCCAAAAAACCATCAGAGGGATGGAACACCTTTCCTGTGAGGACAGGATGAAAGAGTTGCGGTTGTTCATCCTGGAGAAGAGAAAGCTCTGGGGAGACCCTATCGCAGCCTTCTAGTACTTAAAGGGGCTTAAAAGAAAGATGGGGACAAACTTTTTAGCAGGGCCTGTAGCGATAGGACGAGGGGTAACGGTTTTAAACTAAGAGGGTAGAGTTCAACTAGATAGAAGGAAGAAATTTTTCACAATGAGAGTGGTGAAACATTAGCGCAAGTTGCCCAGAGACGTGGTAGATGCCCCATCCCTGGAAACATTCAAGGTCAGGTTAGATGGAGCTCTGAGCAACTAGCTCTAGTTGAAGATGTCCCTGCTCATTGCAGGGGGTTGGACTAGATGACCTTTAAAAGATCCCTTCCAACCCAAAGATTATATGATTCTATTTTTTTCAGAATTGCAAAATCTCATCCTGTGGGACCTGTCTGATACCCTTCAAAGCCAATACCTTCAGCAGCACTGTATGGCAGGCAATTCAGCGAAGAATAAAAAGTTTGTCATCTGTTTTGTTTTGCATGACCTCTCTGAAGTTTAGTGCTTCCTGGTGTAAATTAGTTCTAGAATTTAAGCAATGTAAATGTTTTTTAGCATTGGAAGGCTCAGTGTCAAGTATTGGTATCCCAAAGCTCTGATAATATGTTGTATAGTTAAGAGGCAGAATTTTGTAATTTTCATTTCCTAGAGACAAATATACAAAATTAAGAAGGTCCGTATTTACAGCAACTTTGGCAAACTTCTGTTTTCCTATGGCTCTACACTGCCTGTAGGGACACTGACACAAATTTCTGCAACTTCAAAGGCAATTCCAGGCAATCAGTTCTTACTGGTGAAATACAAAACCGAGGTGACAATGTCCACTTTACACGGGTTAAACAGCCATGGAATTACTTCAATCTTAACATTAGTTCTTTACTTGAAATAATTAGTTTCATTCCTTTATTCATACTTTTGTTCCTGTTTGAGGTCTTGCATCAGTTAAGCTTGATTCATTATCTGTAAGCTAAACTGATCTAAGCAGTAATGAAACCAGTTTAACATGTCTTGATTATTTTTGGTTGATTTTAGGTAAACTAGTGACAAAAAACCCAACCTTGGTGTAGATAAATTAATATGTCAAAGTTAAGAAACCTGTGTAGGAAGCTACATTTTTTTCAGGAGGAAGGATCTTTCAGGAAGCTACATTTTTTTTCAGGAGGAAGGATCTTTCCAGTCTGTTTAGTGCGATGATTATTCTTCAATGATACCATGAAAGATACTTAACACAGAAAGAGAGGGGAAGAACCTGTTTTTGCAGAAGGTGATGTTAAGACTTCAAGAGGGCAATATTTTTATTTTGCAGTCTATTTTTATAGTATCTGGAGAGTCTGAAATATTCTTTCAGATACCTCACTATTTCTAGCATTCTATCTTTGTTGCGCTTAGAGTACATTCTAGGGGAACTTGCATGGAACGGAAATTTAATACAAAATAAGTAAATAATAGTGAAAAGCAGTGGTAGTCTGAGTGTGGTTCATTTGACCTCCTTTTTAGTCTACAGTGAATAAATCAGATGCAAGTAACTATGCTGTAAAAACTATGATCATATACTTTCCCTCTGTTTTAGAAGTGATTGAGGTCTAACAATAATTCTCCTGGAACATACACTCTGATGTTGTTTCACCCTGCTTTGCTCAAATATTAACTGATTTTTAAGCTTTCATTTGTGTTTTTTTCATACTGTTTTTCATCTGTCATTGTTTAAATGGCTATTTCCTGTATTTCCATGCTGCATTCCAGAAAAATGATATTCTGTTTACAATACAGTTGGTAATTTTTCAAGTTCAGTCTTTGAATTACGTTTTCTGCTTCTGGGTTGATTCATATGATTTTTCCCTCTTTAACTATACCAAACATTCATGTTTTGACACTAAGAGTTTTTAGTCAGACTGCAGAAGAATAAAGAGAAAAGACAAAGAAAGAAAGAGAGAGAAACAGTAGTGTCTTCCTACATTTCTACATACTATATGACGTGTTTACCACAAATGGACATAGCTGGTTTGTGCTTGTCTTATACTGTACTGTATATACAATGTGTATAGGCTTTTCAAACTGACAGTTGAGGGTTAGCAGGACTTTTAATGGCTACTTGGTACTGTGTTGTGTGGGTGTATATCTTCGTGCTTATTAACCATGTCACTGCAGCAGAGAGGCCACAATCATGTTGCATATGTAATTATTTTGCCTAGTTCAGCAACTTTTTAGAGCAGCTTTCCTGCTACTCTTGTGTGATCCAGTAGTAGTGGTGAAGGATTTGTGTAGTCCTTGGGGCTGCAGAACAGACCAAACTCCATACCGCAATGCCAAGGATCCCTGGAAGGGATCTGCAGATGTTCCCTGTGTTCTAGGGGGAGCACAGAAATTAAAAAGGACTGAAAATTTAACACAGGATTCATTGTTAAAGGATTACCTCAAAATGCTTTTGAAATACTGATTAATTGATCTGAGAGAGAGAGAATGTGTCGATCACATGTTTATCTGTCATGGATCATGATGTAGAACATGCAGGCTTTACTGGATATGATGTATCCCATGCGTTTTAAAAAGCCATTTTCCCCCCTCTCTTAGAGAGCCCCTCGGAATAACAAAGGAGGTCAGGTTCTTATATATATATAAAAATAATAGAAATTACAGAACTTATAACACTGAGTAATGTGAATGGCCCTGCCTCATCATGGAGCCAGTGGAGTTGTCAAGGTGCATGAGCTAAACAACACTAGTTCAGTCCAGCTAAGCTACACACCCCGAATTCAACCAGTGATGTCTGATACCTGTGCTAATACTATTTTTATAAATTTTGATTTTTTTTTTTCTGACGGATTTATTTTAAGTATAGCTGGTTCTGATAGCACTTTGGGGCTTAAAGAAAGGACAAATGTATCTTTATGGTTATAAGGTGAAGACTGAAGTTGTGTAGGTAGCTTCTGCTCCTTGCTTCCTGATCTCAGTTGATGCTCTGAAATAACCAACAACAAAAGGATTAAAATTTGTCAAACTGAGTATATATCACTAAAAAAAAAAGAAAATAGTAGGTATTTGTCATAGTTTAGCCCCAGCCAGCAGTTGAGCACCACACTGCAGTTTGTTCTCTTCCCCACCCCTAGATGGGATGAGGGAGAAATCAGAAAAAACACCTTGTGGGTTGGGATAAAAACAGTTCAATAGGACAGCAAAGGAAGAGGAAACAACAATGATAACAACAATACTAATAATATTACTGGTAATGGAATGTACAAAACCAAATGATGCACAACACAACCATTGCTCATCTCTTGGTGATTGATAGCCCATCCCTGAGCAGCAATTCCCAGCCAGCTCCCGTTTATATACTGTGCATGATGTTATATATTAGGGAATATTGTTTTGGCCAGTCTGGGTCAGCTCTCCTGGCTGTGCCCCCTCCCAGCTTCTGGTGCACCTCCCTGCTGGCAGAGCGTGGGAAGCTGAAAAGTTCTTGACTTAGTATAAGCACGACAACTACTTAGCGACAACCAAAAACATCAGTGTTTTATCAACATTATTCTCATACTACATCAAAAACACAGCACTATTCCAGCCATCAGGAAGAAAAACCAACTCTATCCCAGCCAAAACCAGGACAGTATTAACAGATTTTTTTTGGTAAAGGGAATTTTCTTCCTTATGTGTGAGCTTTTGAAAAGTATTTATATGTATATATAACTAAGTGCAATTTTTAAAAAATCTCCTTACTAGAAGAGAAAACTGAACATTAGGAGTATACCTGCTATATGTTCTTTTTATCTATTCATTGTCAAGCACCTCATTTGAGAAATGCTACCACAAGAAAAGCACTGTCATCTTTTAGAAGGCAGATGCTTTTATTTGGACTGACTTGGTTGAATTGTTTATTAATATACATTAGTATTTATTTTAGATCGTATTATCCGTTCATATTTCCATTAACTGAA